TATATATATATATATGTGTGTGTGTGTGTGTGTGTGTAATTTATATTTTTTATGAAATTTTATCAATTAAGAGTTGACGTGAAACGCTGCGTATATGTATAAAATACATGTTGACTTTATAATTTTATTGATTTATTTGTTTGATAAAGAATTTTATTGATTTATGTGTAGAGCCAATCACAAAAAGAGTTCAAGCAGCAGTCTTTTTTGTCTCTGTTTTCTTTTTTTATTATAGTTTTTTATTCTCTGTGTCTTTAACCCATTAACTCGTCCAATCCCATGTCAAGACGGATCTTTCTCACGAACTAATCCATAGTTTATCGAATTAAATTTAATGAATTCGAATAAAAAACAAACCAAACGAGTTCACGAGTTGGTTCGCGAATAAAAAATATTTTTAATTTTTTAATATTTTTATTATGTTTCATATTTTTTATTATAATCTTCTTTCACTATCTTATTTGAAAACATTTAATCTATTATATATATAACTAACAAAATTTAAATTATAGTTTTTAGTTAGATATTTGATTAGTAAGTCATTTTTTTCTTATTATTTAAAACGAGTCGAACTGAAAAATACCTCGCGAAAAAAAAAAACGGATCTAACTGGGTTGGACTAAAAAATTTTGAAATCAAAATAGATTGGACTAGTTTGGACTGAACCAACCCGTTTTCATCATTCAAAATTTGGATACATCGGTTCACAAAATTTGATTATGAAAGACGAAAAAATGAGTTCAAATTATATATATATATATATATATATATATATATATAGAAAAGCAACGCACTCAGCACACCACCTGAATGAAAATGCCGTTGCTGCCCATGGTTGACCGTCGAATTTAAATATATTCTTGAACATTATTTTTTTTTTTTGGTCTGGCGAGTGGTATTGTTTTATTTATGAAAGCTTGAATATTTCAAATTGTTTTGTTGCTGAATATATAAAATAATACTATAGACATATAATATATTTTAGAAACTCGGGATTTCCAAAACCCATATGTGATTGTCTAGATTTCTCGTGTAACTTTTGTCAACATTATATATATATATATATATATATATATATATATATATATATATATATGTGTGTGTGTGTGTGTGTGTGTAATTTATATTTTTTATGAAATTTTATCAATTAAGAGTTGACGTGAAACGCTGCGTATATGTATAAAATACATGTTGACTTTATAATTTTATTGATTTATTTGTTTGATAAAGAATTTTATTGATTTATGTGTAGAGCCAATCACAAAAAGAGTTCAAGCAGCAGTCTTTTTTGTCTCTGTTTTCTTTTTTTATTATAGTTTTTTATTCTCTGTGTCTTTAACCCATTAACTCGTCCAATCCCATGTCAAGACGGATCTTTCTCACGAACTAATCCATAGTTTATCGAATTAAATTTAATGAATTCGAATAAAAAACAAACCAAACGAGTTCACGAGTTGGTTCGCGAATAAAAAATATTTTTAATTTTTTAATATTTTTATTATGTTTCATATTTTTTATTATAATCTTCTTTCACTATCTTATTTGAAAACATTTAATCTATTATATATATAACTAACAAAATTTAAATTATAGTTTTTAGTTAGATATTTGATTAGTAAGTCATTTTTTTCTTATTATTTAAAACGAGTCGAACTGAAAAATACCTCGCGAAAAAAAAAAACGGATCTAACTGGGTTGGACTAAAAAATTTTGAAATCAAAATAGATTGGACTAGTTTGGACTGAACCAACCCGTTTTCATCATTCAAAATTTGGATACATCGGTTCACAAAATTTGATTATGAAAGACGAAAAAATGAGTTCAAATAATATATATATATATATATATATATATATATATATTTCAAATTATTATCCGGTGTATTTTTAAAATAAATTATATAACATAATTACTTTATTATATTTGTTAACTATTTATAAATTTTCAAATTTGGAACCCAAATTATTAAAGAAAGCATTATGTATAAATTTAGATATTTAGAAGATTATTTTGGATCATTTATTCTAAAAATATAGAATAAAATATTTTTGGAAAAAAACTATAACTCATGAAACATTTTTGTTATAGCTCAGAAAATTTTCTTCATATTATATTAAATTATGTAAATCCAACAAAAAAAACAAATAAATTATATCTTTGTGAAGGACAAAAGAAAGAGAACTTAAACAGGGAGAAAACCCCAACGAAGAGACAACTTGGAAAGATGTATATTGACTGAGTAACTCTATGTTTCCTAGGATGAAGCTTTTGAAGTTTTTGATGGGTACTTTTCACGACCACGAGTGCAAACTCTTTTTTTTTTTTTAAATAAAAATTAAGTATTATTTCTTTAACTTTAGACTTTTTAATTTTTATTTTTTTCAACGGTTGAAGAAATTTTATTTATAAAATATAACATTTTAACGAAAAATGATTTGGATAGTAACAACGTGCACTATGTTACGACTTCTACAGAAGAAAAAGTCTTTTAGTTTGGGTATGATAATGAAGACAACCAATATGTAAAATGTCGGGTTAATATATATATATATATAATCGGATATAATCAATTATAGAACACAAATATATCCATATTGAATTTGATTTGGAGTATAATTTTTTAAATCGAATTAATATGAATTAAAAAAATCATTGAAAAACATAACGAGGTTCTTTTTTTCAAAAAAAAAATGAACAAAATTTTCAATAAAGTTTGAATTCGAATGAAACATCAACAGAATAAACATCGAACAGACATAATATTATCAAAATTTTAAAAATCTGAAATCTATAATCTTTTATATATTCAAATACTAAAAATCTTCTACATCTATACCATTACCATATTATATATGAAACTTACAAAACTTAAAAGTGTGTATACATACACACACACATATATATACACACAAAAGGTATGGTGATCTATTACACTTGACGAGTTTGCCGAAAGGTCCAAAAGATACACGAATAGATTTCTAATAAGAGAGAGACGGCGAAAGAGCTCCTCATGCAAACCCTAACAACCATTGAAGATGTGACTCTCTTAAGACAATACAAATGCTTGTTTTGTTCATAGAAAAGCAGAACAGACGTATAGAACATTTCAAAAATTATATTCTTGGAGTATTTATTCGTGTAGAAATAATATGTTTTTTTAAGATAATATTTGCATTTTCTTGTTGGATTAGGTATAATATTAAATATTAGGTAAAATAGCTTGTTTTTGCTTTATTATTTTTTGAACCCTATAATCCAAAACCGAACTCCAGATTACATATATTACATTATGTTTCATTTTTTTTTTCAAAGCAATGTATCCATAGAGATGGAAAAAATAGTTCCAAGTTTATGATATATGAATATGACTACAAATGATAATGTCGAACTATTTAATTGAATATCAAATACTAATACAATATCATCCAGAACACAATGCACGTACCAGTAAGTGACACAAAACTAGGTTGCATGCATAATATAGTGATATTACCCATATTAACAAAATCAATAAAAAGCCATTCTTCTCTCTCTCTCTCTATATATATATATATATATATATATATATATATCTCACACACACACACACACATATATATATATATATTACAATTGTTTGTGTACCTCTAATTAGATTCAATATTAGGTCATTCCTCGAGAGTGTGGTTATAGATTCTCCCATGTGAACGTAATACCAATGCAATTCTATAACAGTTACTTATTTCATTGTTTTGTATATATATCTCTTAATTACATAGCATATTGCCTTGGGTTTTCATGAATATAATTAATCAAGTGTCAAATTTATTTTCTTTCTTTAAAAATATATTTATTCAATTTTTATATTGGTTTTTGGTTCGATTTCATAAACAAATAATAATTTTTTAAAAAATCATTAAGTTTTTTAAATTATTTTATATTCGATTTAAATTGATTTTAGACTTGATTAATTTTATTTCAAAAATACGGTATCTAATCGATTTTTTATTTATAATCAGTTAAAATATAATTATATATTATCCAATTAGACAAACTGGGTTCTTCGTACTTGAACCAAAATGTGGATCCCTATTGTAATGACTATTATTGTCTATCAAAAAAAAAAAAAAAAGCCATACACGAGGGAAGACAAAAAGACGTGGAGGATAGATCCGTCGTGTGGGCAACTACTAAGGGCAAGCGAAGAAGCATTTATTAATAAATATAAATACAAAACTGATATTTTCCTTATCCAATATATAAAGGCGTTGAGAATTCGCATCAAGTAAAATAATTTAAATTAATTGATATAATAAGTAAGACGGAGAAATATTCAATCTTTTTAAGACACACTCTCTCTGTCGCTCCGATAATGTAATGAAAATTCTTGAAGAACAAAAAGAGTATATACCAGGGCGATCCTCTTACGATGATCATGTCCCAGTTGTCCTTTTTCCTAATTATTTCGAGAAACCCTTTAGAAAAATTCGCAACATTCTTCATTATAAGAAAGAGATTGATTGCCTCTGAGATTAGCGGCAGGAACGTGTGCTTTTCGGCTCCTGAATCGAAACCTCCATAGCTTCTCGAAGATGCACAAGTGAAAGAGAGACAGCTTTCTTCTTCTTCCTCTGACTTGTTTCTTGGTTTGAGTTCGTGTAAAGCTCAGCTTGAATCCGGTAAACGGAATAGATTTTTCTTTCTTTTGGTGGGGTTTTCCGCTGTTTATTGCGATGATGGCGATGTTTAGTGTGATGGGTTCTTGTTTTTATCCTCTGGTTCTGATAAAGTTTCGGACTTTTTTGGTCCTCAAGCCATGAAATCTCTGTTTCTGAAGATGATTGTTGGAGTGGTCGTTGTCTTCATTGACTTGGTCTCGAGGAGACTCTGCGAATTTCAAGTTCCATGTTTTCTGGAAAAAATCTCTTCGTTTTCTCTTCAAAGTTAACATTTTTATCAGAAAAATCACCTTGTATACACTTCAGTGGTGTGAGTGGATTCGAGCCACAACTTCTCGGTCTGTTCAATAATCGGTTCATGTGTCTATGTCCAAATCAAGATCTTGTCAAAACGGTTTTTGGGTTTCTGTCTGAATCTCTGATCGAATCCTTAAGCTAAGAGAATAACTGATCTGGTCCTTCAACCAGTTCTATTTCCCCTTTGAGGGTTTGTTTGTCATGTCAGTGTCTTTCTTTGCAAGAAAAAAATCTGTGTTATCTCCATTCATAAGAGCCTGAAATGGTTGGACCGTGCAGGTGAAGGAGCAAAGATCGAGAAGAAGGATGAGTAGAATGGCAGACCATCTTGCCCTACCGGCGCCTCCCACGTCTCTTACCATAGCATTAGCTCTCAGCGGGAGCAAGAAAAGCAAGAACGTCGTCCTGTGGGCGATCGAGAAGTTTGCTTCTCAACAAGGCAACGTCGATTTCAGGCTGATTCATGTTCATCCGAAGATTACCTCTGTACCTACACCAAGTAAGCTCCCAATCAAAGATTTCCCGATGCTGTTTTTTCAGATTACTCTTTTGTGAATTCAGAGTGAATCCTGAGGAATTGTCTGAATCTGGTGAGACAAGGAAAAAAACAAAATTTTAGATGGAAAACTGAGGGGATTCTGTTTATTATCTCTTTTCCTGTTCCCATTGTTCAGTGGGGAATGCAATTCCCATCTCGGAGGTGAGAGATGATGTAGCAGCTGCATACAGACAAGAAGTGAAGTGGCAGGCTATGGAAATGATCAAACCTTTCGAGAAAATATGTGAGCGGAAAAAGGTACCGTCTTTGATCTGTCTGTCTCTGTATGTAAGGCCGCAGAATCTGATGACCCTTTTCGAATCATCTTATGATGAAGGTTGCAGCAGAGATTGTCATGCTCGAAGCCGATGACGTGGCAGCTGCCTTAGCCGAAGAGATTAACCGTCATCTCGTCAACAGACTCGTCATTGGCGGTTCTTCTCGTAGCTTCTTTTCAAGGTACCTCGGGGATTCTATTGATTTTTCCATCGTAATAGCAAAGCATGAACCTTGTTTGTGCAGAGCTGTTCAATGAAATGAACTTGTTTTAATGATGATGCTTCAGGAAGATAGATTTGTGCTCGACAATATCATCAACAGTACCGAGCTTTTGCACTGTCTATGTTGTTTCGAAAGGGAAATTATCCTCGGTCAGGCCATCGGATTCAGAGGGGAATGCAACTATCAAAGATGATGGCAGTGAGAGAACTGATTCTTCCAGCAGTTCTTCGGGACATACCTCGGCTCAAAATAACGGTGAGGCAACCATATGTAACGAATGCGTCATCATCATCATCATCATCTTACCAGAAATAATACGTCAGTCCAATTTTCTTCGGTTTTTTTTTTGGTCTTGTAGAATCATTGGATGTAATGGCAAATACCCTCGAATCCAATTCTCGTGCTCTATCCCTACCAGTAAAGAGATTGCAGTCAGTCCCGATGATAATAAGATATCCATCTGTTCCGATGGAGACGAGCTCTGTCGGGTCTGATGAAACTAGGAGCATGTCTTTGGATGCCGAGGAAATAAAAGACGTGTCTAGCCTCAATAGGAGCAGCACTGATACTTCACGTACCGTGAATTGGACTCCTCGGCTTAAAGATTTCGAGGAAAGGAAAGATGCAATGAGTTCTTCTTCAAGCAACCGTGAATTCGGTAACGTCGCAAGTAGATCTAGTTGGACTAGCATGGTTACCGATACCCATTCACGGGTTTCTCAGCAAGCTTCGAACATGTCGGATGTCCTGAGCGAACATTCCTACACGGACAACCAGGTACTTTAGATTTAAACCTCTTCTATGCCAGAATCTCGTATAAGTTTGGTTTTATAATCGAAAAAAGAGGGATGGATGGATAGCATTTTCACCGATTTCAGGTACATCTGAACTATGAGATCGAAAAGCTGAGAGCTGAACTCCGACATGTTCAAGAAATGTATGCAATGGCTCAAACTGAAACCATGGATGCTTCTCGCAAGGTCAAGATTCATGATCTCTGTATAGAGCAGCAAATCTTGAACTGGTTCTTAGCGTTATTGTTCTTTAATGGTTTATAAGCTGATAAATCTATACCCTTAACGGTTTTTCAGCTTACCGAGCTTAGTCAGCGTCGTCTAGAAGAAGCCATAAGGCTTGAAGAGCTAAAGCTGAAGGAACAAGACGCTCAAGAGTTGGCAGAAAAGGAAAAACAGAAGTACGAGCAGGCGAGGAGGGAGGCCGGGAGCGTGAGAGAGAGGGCCGAGAGGGAAGCTGCGCAGAGAAGAGAAGCCGAGAGGAAAGCAGCCCGTGATGCCAAAGAGAAGGAGAAGCTCGAGAGCGCCCTCGGGGCTTCCGACCTCCAATACCAACACTTCACCTGGGAAGAAATAGCGGCCGCCACCTCATCTTTCTCGGAAGATTTGAAAATAGGAATGGGAGCTTACGGGACAGTTTACAAGTGCAATCTCCATCATACAACTGCAGCTGTCAAAGTTCTGCATTCCGCCGAGAATGCCCTGTCCAAACAGTTCCAACAAGAGGTAGGAAAACTCATTCTTGATGGCAAATCACGTCGAAAGTTATGAGCTTTTCAATCATTTCTTGAAAAAGAATACTGATACTGTTACCGTCTTTCCTCCATTTTTTCAGCTCGAAATCTTGAGCAAGATCCGTCACCCGCACTTGCTTCTTCTTCTCGGGGCGTGTCCCGAGCAGGGTTGCCTAGTTTACGAGTACATGGAAAACGGTAGCTTGGAGGACAGGCTGTTCCAAGTTAACAACAGCCCGCCAATCCCGTGGTTCGAGCGGGTCAGGATCGCCTGGGAAGTGGCCTCGGCCCTCGTCTTCCTCCACAAATCGAAGCCTAAACCGATCATCCACCGTGATCTAAAACCCGCAAACATCCTACTCGATCACAACTTCGTCAGCAAAGTAGGAGACGTCGGCCTTTCCACGATGGTTCAAATCGACCCTCTCTCGACTAAATTCACCGTTTACAAGCACACAAGCCCGGTCGGAACGCTGTGCTATATCGACCCCGAATACCAACGGACCGGGATGATATCCTCGAAATCAGACGTGTATTCCTTCGGAATGATCATTCTGCAGCTTCTCACCGCAAAACCGGCTATAGCGCTGACTCATGTCGTGGAAAGGGCCATGAGTAACAACAACGAGTTCCTCGGGATTCTCGATCAGAAGGCGGGAAACTGGCCAATCGAGGAAACCCGGGAATTAACTGCACTGGCATTGTGTTGTACGGAGCTTCGAAGGAAAGATAGGCCTGATCTAAAGGATCAGATCTTGCCGGCATTGGAGGGTCTGAGAAAAGTTGCAGACAAGGCAAGGAATTCGCTTTCCTCCGTCCCGACACAACCTCCAAGCCATTTTATCTGCCCATTACTCAAGGTAAAACCCTATAAAACCGCCATTGATCCTCTATCAATCTACTTGCAGAGAAGAAATTGGTATAAAGTTTGTAACTTTACGCAGGATGTGATGAACGAGCCGTGTGTGGCGGCAGATGGGTACACATATGATCGTCGAGCGATAGAGGAATGGCTCGAACAGAAAGATACGTCGCCCATGACGAACTCGCCTTTCCCCAGCAAGAACCTTTTGCCTAACTACACTCTCTACACGGCCATCATGGAATGGAGGTCCAGACTAAAGTAACGAAAGCGTTTTCGCGTTCCCCTGCGAGACTGCGTAGCGTTTACCGCGTAGATAAACGGCAAGCTTTGCTCGACGAACTTGTTCCCTTTTACTCACTCTTTTTTTTGTTCGTCTTATTTTTCCAATGTTCATTGTTTCCCAAGAAGTGTATTCAGAGCAGCGAGTTTCGGACCTTTTTTGTTCTCTTTTCGTATGAATTTGCTTAAATCGAAAGGGAAAAAAGAAAAAACAGACAATGAAATTTATTTTAACATCAGAACGTTACACACATTTGATACACACGAATATTTAATTTGTTAATTTCCTCACGTTATTTGGTTGATTTAAATATTCGTCAATTCATGAGTCTAAACTAATTAATATCTAATGTCACAACACAAAATTACCAGAAAGTAAAAAGAAAGAAACCCATTCATTGACCACAAAACAAGAACACATTTAACATTATGATATTAGCCATTTACCAGAAAAAAAAAGAAAAAGAAAGGCAAACATAGACATGGGGACACGCGAAAACTCTCTGTTCTTCCGTATTTCTTCTCCTCCTCCTTCTCCTTCAAAGCTCTTCCGACATCAAGGACGATGCATGCATGCATGCATGCGAACGCCGCCGTTTTCTGCGAGACGGATGATCTAGGAGGTCTGGTGGGCTCCAACGCCGCCGGTGTGTTGCTGTCCGAACTGCTGAGCTCTGTCTTTCATCTCCTGCGCTTTGCTCGCCAGCTTCAGCCTCGCACTGTCCAGCTTGTCCGCCCCTGGTGGGTGCCTCCCCGTCACGTACCTGCTTCAAATACCCTTCGTCATTACCACTCCATACACACATATATATGTATTTTTATGTATATATATATATACCTGTAAATCCAGGAGAAGACGGTAATGGCGGCGATGCCGAAGCCGCCGGAGGCTAGGAATCCGGTGACGAGGAGAGCGACGGTGATGACGGCGGGGACGAGGACGGGGCTGAAGATGACGAGCAGTGGAGTCGCCACCGTGAGAGCGATCACCGTTCCGGCGAGCGTCAGGCCGGAGAGAACCAGCAAGGACCCACCGGCGGTCACAGCCGTCGCCGCCTTCACCATCTGCCTCGACTTGGGCTGCTCCCTGCTCATCTCCAGCGGTCGAGGTTGCACGTCGGCCATTTTCCGGCGAAGAATAAGATCAGACGGTGGAGATATGGTGGTGATCGAATCGGAAATTTCAGGTGCTTTGTAGAAACCGAGCGTGTCCCTCATTATATGAACGACAATAGACGTGGTGGGTCCCGCAGGAGTTTTGCCACGTGTCTCCGATGTCATCATGCATCGGCTGCATGCAATCGAGAGGGGCCTGTTTGGGGACACGTTTGCTTTTGTCCCGAATCGAGAGTGGCATTTGTAAAAGAACCTAGCTGGCTTCATGAAGACAGGGTTAAAATAGTCATTTTATATTCATGTCCAGTTGATTAATTTGGGCTGGGTATCATGGGCCGATGTAATCCAAATGTGGCCCATAATAAGTTGTTGTGAAAGTCAAGATTCAACGAGTGGAAAGCTCATGGTCAACTCTTTGAAGAACTTTTGTGCCGGTTCAACGTTTTAGTTTAAATATATGAAAATTTTAATATAATTCAATAATAGTTAATAATTAACATAATATGAATTAATTATTGTTTTCAGATTTAAATAAATCAAATTCGAATCGAAAACTATTAAAAAAATGAATAAATGATTGGATATAGTTTTTATAAGTTTGAAAACCGAAAAAATGATCAAACTAAACCATAATAAAAAAAAGGTAATGTCCACCTTAGTATTGTTTTTATGATCTATTTGGGCTTTGATGAAGGTTTGTTTTAAAAAATTAAAACTCGGGTTTGGTTTTTTCTCAAACCGGGATGGTATCCACATTTTTTTTTAAAAGTTAACGTGTGATATTTTAATTTAAAATTGTTAACGTGTACGAGATGACATCACGTGGATTTCCGTTAATGGTTCAATCAGTCAAAAGTTTATATTAGAGATATATATAGATTTTTGATATTTTATCAGGATATTTTATTAGAGAAATAATTGACAAGTTGAAGGTTTTATTTGTAAAATTGTTACAAATCTAGGTGCTTTTGATAATTTTACAAATTGAAGGGTTTTTTTATAACGGTGGGGAGCCCGTCCTACGGTCCTTCGGATCGGATCTCGCATCACTTCACAGTCATTCGGACTGGATAGTAACGATATATTACGGATAATAAATCCTCTGGTTTTATGCAATATTTGGCAAGCCACGTAGAACGGATAAACTAGGTGAAACTGAACGGCTCAAAGAGAATTACCATACTTTTTGAATCCACAATCTCGTGCAAAAAGGATTTATCGTCAAGCAATGGGGTTCGAGGACTCTCCCAAATTGAAAGTTTTATTGTATATATTTTAGTAAGTCGGTGACTTTTCCCTTTTAATATTGAAGAAATGATTTGTCCAAAGGATAGACGGAAGAATTCAAACGCACGTGTCTTTTTCTTTAGTATTTCCTTTCCCAATGTAGGTTTCTATATAATGAAATATCAAGTTGTTGATAGTAGGGAATAATTAATATTGGTGGTACAATATATATACATATATACATGTATGTATCACAGTAGAAATGACAATAAATATAATAGTTTAAAAAATATCACTCTCTCTCGGAATGACGAAGTTTGGAGATTCGACAATTTTTGGAAATATCTGTAATCACCTGGCCATTGAATCCGTTCTTCAAAAAAAAAAAAAAAGGAACAGTAACCCAAAGAAACCCTAATTCCAACGTCTGAATTAAATGATTAATTTGATAATGAATAAATAACCATTTATATATTTTTTTTTCTAAACGGAGGAGGTCAAATTTACCTTCAACAAATTGACCGAAAATGTCAGTCCATTGAAGACTCCTTCACGTCGATACCAAACACCATCCCATTTTTATTTATTTAAATTCATATATATATATATCTAAAAAAACACAATAATTAAAATTTTCATAAAAAAGAAAACGAATTAAAAAAACAAAAATAATAATAAAGAATAGCAGCTCGTGAGAATCCACTTGACAGTCCAACCAAAGCGCAAGGATCCTTCCTTCGTTGTCCGAACGCACGGGGGAAGCTGTATACGCAACAACCCTCCCCTACCACTCAAACCCTTATCTATATACACACACACACACTCGTCTCTCTGTTTTCCAAGAAACACAATCTTGAATCCGCTCTCCCCGCCTCCAAAGATCAATCGATTTCGGGTTTAGGGTTTCGGGCATGGAGAATCACCAAGAACAATCAGCATTAGAACGCATAAGACAGCACCTCTTGGCGGATTTCTCCTCGGCCGAGTCGACCTTCATCCCCAGGCTCCAGACAATCTCTCAGATCCAAGTATCGAAACCAGTTTCGACTCTGAGCCGACGAAAACCGTCTCTTTCGGGCATAGCTGTCCCTAGGACGAGCACTTCACCGAGATCCAGCGGTAACAACAACGTTGTGATGACCAACCATCATCGTGATGAGAGTGAGCAGAGTGGCGAGGGGAGGCGTTACAGAGGCGTGAGGCGTCGTCCATGGGGGAAATACGCGGCAGAGATAAGGGATCCGAACAAGAAAGGAGCCCGAGTCTGGCTGGGAACTTATGAAACCGCCATTGACGCAGCCAGAGCTTACGACAGAGCTGCGTTCAGGTTACGCGGGAGAAAAGCTATCCTTAACTTCCCTCTCGAAGCAGGGAAGCTCTGTAACGATGGTAGTGATGATATATGCATCGAAGAAAGGAAGAGGAAGAGGGGAGAAGAGAGCGTCGCCTCGACCAATGAGACGATGACACGTAAGGCTGTGAAGAGGGAAGAGCAAGAAGGTTGTCCGTTGACGCCGTCAAGTTGGACGGAGTTTTGGGATAGAAAAGGGATGGGAATCTTCACGGTTCCTGAGTTATCTCCTCTCCCATCTCTTGGGTACTCCCAACTTGTGGCCATCAGCTCATAGATTTACACTCTCTGATTTGTGTTGTTATTCGTTGATTCGTCTTATTGAATGATATCTTGATTTTTTTTAAGCCCGGTGAGTCCAATAAATACATGCCCTCAAAGTGAATCATTCGAATTGGAATCTATCCATGATACAGATACAGATACAGTATAGGGTACACGAGGGACAAGAGCATTTTTATTATTTGATAAAACGTGTAACGCTTTCGATTTGGTAAGTGGCATTTTTCAATTTGATTACATCTCGTTGTACAGTACATTACGTACATACATACATACATGATACAATATGAATTTGTAACAAAAACTTTCCTCCGGTGTGGTTGATTGGTCTCAGTGGACTGTCTCTTGCTCTAACCTCCAATCACCAAAATAACGTCTTAGGCCATTATTATAATTGCATAATGTATTATATCACAGTTTCTTGTTATTATATATATATAGAAGAAGAACATATTATAATCAAAACCTATAATAAAAACCGGATTTGAATGAACTTACAAAGTTTCAAGTGAGGAAATGATCAATCATATGTTGTATGACGTCCGCTCCTTCTATATGCAATATTTCGTTTTTAACCTGCATGAACCCAAACACCGTCGTCACCATTCACCTTACGCTCTTTTATTACATACGGATCCTACTCGAAGGAGAACATATCATCTTACAGTTCAAGCTCATGCATATAAGATCTAGGGGGAGAGAGAGAGAGACCTGTATAACACTATGGGCAGCAAACCTCTGCCTGCTACTGTGGAAGCTAACATCGACTTTCTCCCATGAAACGGACGAGAGGCCTCTGATCATCTCCTCTGCAAAATCACAAGAAGGAACATGAAACGATAAACGAATAAACAGGCTTTTCCATGCCCAAAAAAAAAAACAGGATTTCCTCAAGAGTAGTTCTACCTTCTGTGTCAGCTGAATTATCCTCGCCTTCTGAGCTATTCTCTGCATCACATGGTTTGCAATGTTCTTCATGAACAATATGAGGGTACTTCTCGTTAAGAGAATCCTCCCACTAGCAACCGAGGATAATTCAATCATCAAAAGCTCTTCATATCAAAATCCCAAATCAAAGAATCTACCCCAATTACCTTTGGTAGTTCATCGTCACGCCTGACAGATGATGTTCTCCAGCCAACAATGTCTATTCAGGTCTTGTCAAGGGAAATCAAATAAGAGGGCATGACACATACTAAAAAACGATGAATTACTGCGACCCATGTCATTATTTGACAGGATACGATCATAGCCCACATTTGAGTAAAGAACCCTCCTTTTGAAGGCACCCAACGCAGATCTGCAAAAAGAGTTGGCGTCTAATAAAGTGTTAAGACATGATTAGCCTAGTAACTTATAACAAAAAGGTACCAGCTAGCATACATGAAATAACAATCATCAGAATCTTCCACCATGCGTCTAAGCAATGGTGGCTTTCCCTCTTCTTCATCTTTTAGGAAAAGGTGTCGGCCTGTTCTTTTGAATATCCAGTGGATAACAAGACCTGCTACTTTCTCAATGGAAGTAACACCAAAGAGAAACGGAACCTGAAAGCACATAAAATACCATCAGGATTATGAGTACCTTCAGAATCTCAGAGAATTACAGCCAAACGGAATTGGCAAGGAATACCTGCTTATTACCCCTAGAACCCAAATGAGGTGTAGCTACAGTGATGAAGTTCATAGCCTCCAGGCCGCATATCGTCCCATTTGGAGTCTCTTCGCCAACATTCGCCGATGAACCCATCCCATCTTCATGCGTAGCTGGTCTGTATAATCTCCCAATTGCATACCTTGCTGCAAGCCCTCCCAAGGAATGTGCCACAAAGGAGATCTTGCGGGTATTAGGTCTTCTCTGAATTACTTCAAGTACCTGACAACCAACGATCTTTAAAGCATCTTGTTGCATTGGCCAGACTACATCAGCTAATTTCAGCGGGAAACGACACATGAGACAGTACCTCGTTTGCCAGACGCTCGCCCATTACATCCACTCCATCTAGAGTAAGCTTAGATGTGTTCCGTTCACTACCTGCTTAGACACTACAAGCATAAGAAGCTAGAGGCAATGCGGGTCTTAGCTAGTATCAACATTACAAACATATCCTGATGATACAGACAAGAGAAACAAAGCCTCACAGCAAATACTGGGTAAACACAAATATAACATTTTTGTGGTAACAAATTCCCAAAACAGCAATGTGATGCCCTTTAACACAGATTAGCACATAGTATCTAGAACTCAACAAGCAAGACCATATTGTCGAATCCTTAACACAGTGAGAGCATTTTCATTAATCTTCCACCAAGAACTAAGGAGAAAGGGACGTCTTACAGTGAACAAATACTTTATCAGGGAGCCTTCTGACGAATTGCTCAGCTCCAAACTTCCAATCATCCGTACTGCAGAAGCAAATAAGGAGATAACATTTCAGTTCTCGTCCCAAATTTTGCATCAAAGAAATCCCATCACTTACACTGGCCAAGTCAAAAACATCAACGAACCAACGAACCAAGCAAATACAAAACACAAAAGAACAATCTAATCGTTGAATCCAAAATCGCAGTACCTCATGCCGGGGATTCAACGAATTCCAAATAAATCAAGTAAATAAACGGAAACTAGAACCGCAAGCAAGCAACAGTTAGCCTAAGCAAAGATGAGATCATTCATCTTCATCAACGCCTAAGAACGTCGAATTGATGAAAAATATCGCCACGGCGACAGCAGAAACCAGAGAATTTACCTCCCTAAGATTCCATGGACCATAACAACGAGGTGATCGGCGGAAGAAGAATCCGAATCCTTGCAACTCCACACATCACGGCTCCCATCCACAGCCTCCGCCGAGCAAACGCCGTTCTCGTGCTTCTCCATGGAAAGTTCCCCAACGAACCTCCGCAAACCCGATGCGATTTCAGCAGTAGAACCGATTCGAAAACCCGATTTGGGGATTGAGCGAGAGATGATGATCGGAATCGGGGGAGGTGTTAGGGTCGGTGGAAAATCGAGGGGGAAAACAATGGCGAAGGAGAGAGGGAGTGTAGGAACTGAGAAGTGTAAATGAATACAGCACGATGACACAGACTTGCAAGCGAAGGAAGCGATGAACAGAGCGAAGGGGGAAAAATCAGGAACACGTTAAGGGAATTATTAATGGCGTTCGACGGAAACTCTCTTTCTCCAGAATTTTCTTTTATTTATTTTTTCTTCTTTTTTAAAATTTGTTTCCACCGGTATTTCGTTTTATCATATGTTTATTTATTTTATTACTTTTGTATTCAAGGGAGGCGTCCTAACATGTTCACTGCTGATTGCCTCAACAAAATTTTGATATTTTAGAGGGAGGTTTTTGGGAAGAGAAAATATTTTTAGGCACTGTTTGCATTTGAGCTTGGCTATGTAAACAAAAAAGTAAAATTTAAAATAAATAAATATGTATAAATTTGTTAAAATTTGATTAACACATATTTGAAATTTGTAATGTTTTAGAAAAATATATCAAATCGCCAAACTTTTTTTAAATTCTACGTGATTTATATACGGCGTGAAATGAAATAATGTTTTCCGTCTAAAAGTGCTACTAAAGTAGTAAAGTGACTCGTCAATTTTTCTATGTCAACAACATAGATATACATATATACTAATACCAATGTATACACATACACAAATACATACATACATACACATCTATATATATATATGTATGTATACATACACATACATATATATAATATGTATATATGTATATGTGTGTATGTGTATATATATGTGTGTATAGGTGTATATGCGTGTTTTTAATTTTTTGTAATTTTGATTTGGCAAAAAATGATACATATCGTGAAGAATTATATATTTATTTTAGAATGTTTTTCTTAAAAAATGAAAATAGAATAAAATATCATATATTTATATTACATTTAAATATGTAAAAAGCGGACATAACTTTTAAGTTAAATCATTCATACCAATTAAAATATAAATCAGTTAGAAATAAAAAAAATATTGAAAATAAAAATATGTTTAATAGATATCAAATCAAAATTAATTAGGACAAAATAAAAATTCAATATAAAAAATAGATATAAATTTAATAAGAATATAATTTAAAAATGATTGAATCCAATCATTATAAAATCCAAAGTACTTATCTTTATATTTTTCTTTTTACATATTTAGGCTCTACTTGTCAACTCAAAGTGTGGACAAGGACAAGACACATTTTGATAAGCCCCCTCTTGTGGGACATTATTGCAAAACGACGTCGAGATGGTAAGTTATAAGATAGGGGAGAGAATTCATGGCTTGGAAGATGGAGTAATTCTCATACATGTTTGGTAAAAAAAAAAAAACTAATTACTAGTCTAAAAATACAATATCACAATCCAAATGTGTATTCTAAGGATCTAATAATATTCTAAACTTTTTCTCACTATTTGTAGATCAAGAGAGAAGAACAAAAACCCATTTCTCTAATGTGTTGGATTGGTTTCACAAGATCTCAACCGTGAATTTTTTGTGATTCAATCGGAGCCTATGGATTATTTTCAACCAAATCCAACGGCTGGTATTACCAAACAATCTGAACCGTTAGATTAAACATAACGGATCTCAACCACTGATTTCCTAAACACATCTGAACCGTTAGTTCGATTTCAGATGACTTCCACCGGAATCTTAGAAGATCAGTCGGAGCCGTCGGATTAGCCATAGCAGATCCGAACGGGTCGTCGTCCGCCGGCATGAAAGGAGAAGATGGACATCAACAAGAGAGGTTTATGGAACAATTGTAAACTGTTGACGCAACTTATAGGAGCATCACTGGTGGAGTGATACGAGTGTATCCCCCACTCAGATCAATTGTTGGATTTGAATAATTGCTTCATCATAATCATCATCGATCTTCGATTAACGGAGAGTTTGAAGATTTTATGACAAGTACAATATTTGGTTCGATTCTGCCAGCTGATTTCTTCAACTGAATCTCAGAAGAGGGGGCTGCGAATCCTCATCGCAATCCCTAAATTCTCAGGAAAAACCGAAAAGAAAAGAAAGAAAAACGGATAAGATATAATCCCGAGAAAATGAAATTGGCGTTTGACCTAAACAGTGAATCCAGAAGAGTTCTCGGAGAAAACAGAAGGATAATCACGAGAAACTCCGGAATTGTTAAACAAAAATAGAGAGAAATGCTCAGCTCATAAGGAGAATCGACACAAAAACGAATCTCCGAGAAGAGAGAGACGCCTTGTTCCGGTCTGTTGAGCTTGAAATTAACTGAGTCATCACTGCAATCTCTCCCTAAAGCCCCAAAAAAGAGAAGAAGAATCGCAAATATACAAAAACAAGACCAGATTCACAGAAAGACTTGTAGAGGATGGCGGTACTTGTAGGATGAGAAATGGAGCTAGGGTTTCTGAGAGAGGAAGATGGCGCCTCGGATCCGGTTTGGCCCAAATTCGACCCTGTAACGGCCCAATAAACATGGTTTTCTTTTTCAACCCAGATTACGAGCCTTTCCTCCAAATTGGCCCAATAAAATGTTCTCGGATTTGTCTTTTTTTTTTTTAACTTGACGTCTTACTTTTGCTAGCTCTCTACAAACGGACTTTTCGTCGATTACAACGATTAGATCTCAACCGTTGATTTTACAGATTCGATCTTAACCGTTGATATTTAATATCCGATCATAGCCCTTGATCTCTTAGAATGTACCTTAATCATCATACAATTAACAGACTCAATTTCATCCGTCGAGTTTACAGGTTTGAATCTTTACCGTTGACATAGAAATCAATTTCAACCGTCCATAACTATGAAGAGATATTATTAACCGTTGATTAGGATACTCGATTATAACGGTTGATCTCATCAGCAGATATTTCAGATTAAATCTGATCCGTCGAACCAAATTACAGAATTTTGACCATCGATTAAAAAGATCAGATAACCACCGTCAATTTTCAAGAATCATCTGTAACCGTTCTTTTTAGATTTGGCCTCAACCGCTAAACAGCCGATGTAATTGTGTTCTTTTTCAACATGGGCCAATAAATCCGGCGTTCTCTGACAACATTTTATCTCTGTCGAAAACAAATGAATAAGATCACAATAACATTAATTGTTTTTTTTCTTAATGTGTTACTTTGGTTAACTCTCCAGTTCGTTCGTTCGTTCTACGAACCAACTCGCCAGCTGAAATTCATAATTAAGTCAAAAAAAATTTTACCACGAACGCCGTGTTACGCTAAAATCTCATGAAGCCCTGTCCAAAGGGATTTGTTTTGGAAATATATTCGAAAAAAAAAATAAAAAAGGACATACTTCCCGGTTTACATATGGATACATGATTTTACTGAAAGAATTTTTTTTTTTTTTTTTTTTTGATAACCGAGAGGTTCACCTGGACCTTCGGCCCAACCTACATCCCCTCAGGCCCGGGAGCAGCCTTTAGAGACCCAGCGACAGGGTTCCAGAGAGCAACACCCTCCCAACCAGGAAAAACCCCCTCCCTCCCCAGCACAGGCGCTCGAACACGGGACCAGCAATTGGCACTCCCAACCAATTCTCGCCTCACCATGGAGCTATACCCGGTTGGGTAAGAAAGTAAGATAAAAAAATAAAAACGAAAAAACTCACAGAGATTTGTACTGCTCGATCAAACGTGAAGCATGGAGGCGTGATGTTGGGGTGGTGGTGCATCCCAGATTCTGCAGGTACGCTATCTGCAATTCTCAAAAAACCACGCCAAAATTTCAGCCCATTGCTTCAATTCCAATGACTATTTCCATTCTTCGGCTTATTTTTTTTTTCCCAGGTTAAAAATCGCATCCGAATTCCCGACTTATCATCAGGATTTAAGTATGGTAGTTCTACTTTTCTTCCTTTTTCTTTGGTTTAAGTTATAAGGTGGTTGACAGAGAAATATACAGCAAGTTGTAAGAACGGAGCTTTCTGCGGTTTGGTTTACCTGTTTAGTTGTTGCTGCGGATGAGCTCATTGAGTTTTCGATTCTTAGCTTCTGGAAATGTTCCTGAAAAGAGACATATGTGCCGTAAGATTGTGTTGAGCGAAAACGACTTGAGTTGCGGTGTTTCCGCCAATAGACAGTTTATAGGTTCTAGGAATTCCCGTTCTTTAGGACTCCGGAATCGTAAACGAATTATGAGAATCGCTCAACCTCCCTTTTCTATGTTCATAAACCGATTATCTTATTATCGAACCAAAAACTCCTATAAAATACAAATTCTATCAATCTAAGATTAGCTAAGATATGCAGATCAGGTGCTAGGACCTTAGGCCATTATCCTAATCTCCTAATAATCAAATTAATTAAATAAAACACCAAATCCCAATTGATCATAAAATAGCAAAGACTAATGAAATACACATCCTATTATCTATCAAGAATCCAGAGAAATACCTGCTTCTCCCGCATGAGATGAGCTCGTTTGTCAGCAGGA